AGTTTCCATGGTCCTAATAAAGTTACTATTATTAAAACGTTATTGAAAACACACACACACACATTTATTTTTTTTTTTATTTTTTTTTTTTACTTTGGCTCTTTCGGAAAAATGCATTAACCAAAAAAAAAAAAATGGCTCTTTGGTCAAAAAAGGTCTATAATAATATACATGTATACACAATTACCATTTATTACTATAAAATATAATGTATACGCAGATACATGTGCATATAAATTATTATATATTTTATAATTATATATTATAATAATTCTAATGATTGTAATATATATTATACTGACTATAATTTAAACAAACATATATAAATATATTGTGTAAAAAATATATACATAAAAAAATAATACATAAATGCACAATTATCATTTACTATAATTATTCATATAATAATAATAATAACAATAATTATTATTATTAGCAATTTAATAATCATTTGAATATTTATATGTATTTATTAAATAGTTATTTATGTAATCTGTATACACACAGAGACGCATATAATTATAATTTTTTGTTATTATATAAATAAATTTGAAATAAATGCATAAATATTCAAAGCTAATAATAATAACTATTTTTATTATCATCATTACTGTATGAATAATTATAATTATATGAATACATAAGAAATAATAATTATGCAAATAACTTTAATTAGATAATTACATGATTATTTAAAAAAAATTATTAATTAAAATAAAATATGCATAAATATTCAAAGCTAATAATAATAACTATTTTTATTATCATTATCATTACTGTATGAATAATTATAATTATATGAATACATAAGAAATAATAATTATGCAAATAACTTTAATTAGATAATTACATGATTATTTAAAAAAAATTATTAATTAAAATAAAATGTATTATTTGTCAACTACCTAGGTGGCTGAAGGCTCAGTCGCACTTGAAGGAATATCACGAGAATCTTCAGCTTGCCCTCGAAGTCTCGTCCTTCTACCAGCAGGCCGATAACATTGTCTGTTCCATCAGCAACATGGTAATCATTTTCCTTCGTTGAGCTATTTCTGTTCAAACCCCACAGGAAACCCAGTATCTGTGCCATTTCGCTTCGACGTGTCCTTTGATACGATTATAACCCAACTATGTCTGTATGTTGACATGCTGATGCAATCTAAGAATGTTATTTACGGTTTGCTCTCCTTTTTTAACTTCTCATCCAGAGAAAAAGCCTCTCGGCAAGCAACGGAGTGGAAAATGGCAGAGATGGGGAAATTCGGGACATTGCCAGTCAAATCATGGTGCGCGATCCAAAATTCACATCCCATTATAGTCACACGAGGAGCCGTGCTGTGAACACGCTGACCCTAAACGCGTTAGTTCACGGTCCAGCTCCGTGTCAAACACCAGCCTGACGCCCGCGTTTGTTTTCCTGTCGTTCTGTGTGGTTTCAGATGCTGGATGTGAGCGTTTCCCAGCACTCCAACCTGCACCCCGCACTGGTGGCCCGCGTCGCACAGAAGCAGAGCGAGGTGAAAGACTGCTGGGCCGTCCTCCAGAAGACTCTCAGGTAACTCAGACTAGCAGAGTTATGAACCACGCAAGCCCTACGGTGTCCTCTCAGTAGGGCTGACCTTGAATAGTCGAAGATTCGATGCTTCGATAGGAGGAGCCTGATTCGATACCAATCTCACAGTCGAATATTCGCGGGGTGTTATGATCATGCCATTTTGGCTATATGGGGGTGCTCAATGTCTGATTTCACATAGAACTACTGGTTTTCTCCCAATAAGTTAATATACAGCCTATTATCATAATGCTGCCAATAAGAATCTGAACAGAAAGAAGCTTTTAATAATTATTTATTAATGAATACATCCAATTACCCCTGTGACAGATTTAAAGGGGTCATATGATGCGATTTAAATTTTTCCTTTCTCTTTGGAGTGTTACAAGCTCTTGGTGCATAAAGAAGATCTGTAAAGTTGCAAAGCTGGCTAATCAGAGCACACCTCGCTTTTCAGACCGATTAGTTTTGTAAAAATCGACGCGTTTCAGAAAGGCGGGGCATAGAGGAGAAACAATAATGTACAGTATGTGAAAAATTATGTGTTTTTTTTACTTTAAACCACATAAACACATTTCATTACACCAAATACACAAAATAATGTTCTTTTTAGCAGCATCATATGACCCCTTTAAGTTTCACTTTCCGTAATCCGTGACCGACAGAGGAGCATCTTGGCGGCAAGGATTTAAATCTTTAACAGGACTCAAATTGACACAGGCAGAGTGAAAGACTGGATTTTTTTTCACGATCAGGTAGGGTACAAGTGATTTCAAAAAATTTCTTCCGGTTCTAATTTGATTTTTGGATGCTGTGAACATAGGTGCCGATCCCGTGGGTGCTCGGGATCGTAAAAACTCGAGATATTATTTATTCACTATCATTTTGACGAAACTGATCTGGCAATCTCTCCAATGCATACTTGTGTTTGCGCTCTGGAGAGAATCAAAAGGTTTATTTTTGTCCAGTGCTTAGTCCAGTGAAAGCTCGCGAATCCTGTCATTGTAACAAAACTTAATGAGATCACAGTGAAGACGAGGGACAGCTTTTTAGTGATTATAAAGGCAGTGCTCTTTGTGTGCTTTCTAGACTATAGAGCCTATAATCCATTCAGAATTTGTATAAAACTTTTATTTTTCGCCGACATACACGCTGCAAAGTTTCGGGAATGACATCCGCATATTTATGCGAGATTCGCACTCGAAAGAGCAATGAACGGGACAAAAATATACATGAAAATGTATGTGAATTGAGGCTAGAGCACACTTTCTAAAGCACCCTCGGTATTTAATTCTGGAACTGGGCCTGGATAAAACTAGCTGTGTTTGAGCAGTTTTCCCGGCAGCTCATATTTAGGCGATCGCATGGAGGTTTATGTGGCAGTAGGCTTCAAAAGTTTTTTTTTTTTTTTTTTAAATTAGCAGGATATTTGTTAATTTCCTACGTGAAAATCTCTATACAGTTAGAATAAACATGCACACAGGTTTCTTCGAATACTTCTTGCATCTGTTGATTTCATCTTGAGTGGATATTTGGTTTTATTTTGTGCAAATCCCCCAAAAAAAAGTAATAACATGATATGCGGCCGGCTGATGTTAACTATATTTTAATCACAACATAAAACATTATTTATTCCGTTTGTATCTGCGAGGCGTCCGTTACACATTTTCCCTGTGTGTTAACTTCAGTATTTATGACTGTTGAATGTCTGACTACTTGACTCTTGGTAATGTATTTTCCCCCCGCCCCCAAACATATGATTCTATCCTTAGTCAGGGACACCCCTACCTCTCAGGGACAAGAGCCATTTCCCTCCTTGATAGGCTCTCCACAGAGCCGAAGGCACTTTCCACAATCCTGCTTTTGTTGCATTTGTAATAGAGCCCTGCACTGGCCTCAAATATAGGCCCTAGCCCGGCCCTTGTCCGACAGCTTATCAGAATTACCGTCCCGAGCCTGTCTTTTTTCCCCCTTCTCCCAAAACAGCTTATACTACTGTTTCAGCTATTAAAATAGTTCAGTTTTGTATGTAATGGCAAAGTGATTATATTTAGTTTCGTTTTTTTATTAAGTTAATTTAGAAAAGCGTTTGGAGCATTTTTTGTTCGTTACAAGTTTTTGTTTTTTAAAGTAACGACCAAGCAGCCAGCGGCAGACAGTGAGCCTATGTTTGATCAAATTAGCCTTCTCAAATCATCACGACTTGCCTAAAATAAAATCTATAGATATGAAACATTCCAAGCATATAACAATGTTTAAACGTTAAACCTAGATAAATGTGCGCTGACAGTAACTAGTAATATATAATGTATTACATTTTGGAAGTAACTTGCCCAACTCTGGTAAAGATGCACTTCTCTCTAAAGGCGCGTCTAATGAGATAGCGAGTCAGGATCGACAACTTCATCCTTGCGACACCGACTCCGAAAACACTAGTTTATTAGTAAATAATTCAAATATCTCCTTACTATTTCCCCCTGACACATTCATGGTAATTCCTTTTGCCGGTGCTTTGCGGCAAGCTTTAGCCTATTGCGTGCATTTGAACGCAGAACTGTTCAGCTGCGCTGACGGCACGTTGCTGCTGCTGCTGGACACTAAACACCATCGAGCCACTCTAGACAGTCGCGGTAGCACGGTCTCGTGTTGTTTCCACCAGCGCGGCAAATTTTTTTTTTTCATCACTAATTGATGGATGTCTAAAATATAAAAATAAGGAGAAGCCTAAAACAGGCCAGAGGCCTGGCCCACGTCTGAACTATGACGTGAAAATTGGCCCAAAGCCAGGCTCTAGGGGCATAAAAAAGTCAGGGCCTGTTGGGCCCGGGCTGAAATGCAGGGCTCTATCCCCACCACCAACCGCATGAGACACGACCAGGAAACTGTTTCCAAATGATAATTAGATGCATATAAAAGATGTGTGCTTATTTTCATAATGCCACCAATTACCAATCTGAATTCTTCCTCCTGATGTTTTGAAACGCTAAACACCAAAACAAACCGTTTGATATGAAATTTAGCTGGAAACGACTCTTAAACTCGTTTGTTTGTTTCTTGCAATTTGGCCATTTTATTGCTCTATCAGGCATCTATATTGATTTAATTGTTGTTTGAGGTTTAAAAGTCTGCGATTCCTGTTCCTGCGCCCAGTTAGTCATACAGGGTCCTTAAAAAGACTTAAAACATCATAAATTCAGTTGTATAAAATTTAAGGCCATAAGTCTTAAATGGTACAAGAAAAGTCTTAATTATAATTTCAAGTCGTCTTGAATTTGAGGACGGAAAGACAAGAATCGCGATATGGCTTAATCTGATGATTAAACTTCAAAAGGCTATGATTTTATTGAATAAATATAAGCTGCATGTTTCAAAGTCAAAACGTGGTGCGGTTGTTTTATATGAACGTATCTCTGAAGGGAACTGACTGTTTTCAGAAATGTTTGGATGGCATTTTCAATTCATCTTACCTGTAATGCCTGATAAAGTAGCATTTATGACAGGGTTAATTTCTGCAAAAAAAAAGTCTGCAAAACCAAACCAGCCCAAATGTTCAGCAAAACTAGCCCAATCATCCCTTCATCAAAATCGCCTTCCGGGGCGATCACTTTAACCCACGGAGTTAAAAAAGAACCCGCTGCAACGGTTTAAAAGTAGTAAAACCACAGACTTGGCAACACCAGGGAAACCTCTATATTTCTGCCGCTCCAAACGCGCCACCTGCTGGCAGAGAATGAATTTGCATTTTCAAGAAGCCAGTTTGCTTAAATAATAATTGATGCTTTTGACTCATCCCTTTTCTTAAAAAATGGTTTAAAGCCTGAAATGTGAAGTTTATCATTTTATAAAACTTTGTTTTAAACTTTATGTAGTAATAAATTATTATTTTTATAATAATGTTTATAATAATTTAAGTATTATTTAAATAATTATTTAAAAAAATGTATATATCATTATTCAAATAATTATTAATGAGTTAATAAGAATAGAAAATATATAATAGTATTATATTTATATGAATAATTTAAAATAAAATTAGTTTTTATGTAATATAATTATTACACTATATATGTATTATATTTTATAGTAAGAAATTGTAATTATTGTAAGTATTATATAAATTATTAAATACATCTATAAATATTCAGGTATTATACACACCAATAAACAATCTGAATTTTTTCTCCTGATCAGCATATTGAAACACTAAACTCCAAAACAAGCCATTTAATGACATTTTGTTGGAAATATTGCTTAAACTCTCCTTTGTTTGTTTGTTTGTATGTTGCAATGTGGTAACCAAATCCAAATGTGAGCTTATTTTGTACTTTATTGCACCATCATCTAAGGCGTCCGTATTGATTTCATCATCATTTGAGATTTAAAAGTCTGCGATTCCTGTTCCTGAGCCCAGTTAGTCATAATAAATAGTGTGCGTACTGCAGAAAGCTTGCCATCTCCTCCTTATGCCTTCGGTTGAGGATGAAGTATGTTTATGTTTATAATTAGAGGAATTTATTCCTTATATTAAATGCATAACAGTTTATTTGGGCAAAGCAGATGTTTAATCAAGATGAATTCATGGCAAAAGTTACTAATGGTAAAATAATACACAAGCAGCTCGTTCTGTTCTGTGAATGCAGTAAAAGTTCACAGCCGAGTGGGATGTTTCTGGAGGAAATTAATAAAGAGTTTCTCTATATAGAAGTCATAATATAAAAACAGATTCTGTTAATATGTGGATTTTTTAAGCCGTTTTTAAAAGTCCCAGATGTCATTCTGTATTCTATGTTGTGTATGTCTTGAATTTGGAGCAGTTAAAGTTCATCTGTCAAACGCTGGTTCTGGTTTTCTTTAACACCTGTGCATTTATGGATTATGTATGACTGGATTTATGAACAGGATAAAGTCAGGCCGGATACTGTATGGTGTTGTTGTTAACATACACTTGCTCTTAGTCTGCACTATTAATCATTGTCAGATCAGTTGTTACTGTTACTTTTAGAAAAGAGATGAACTTCTCATGCATCAGTTGTTGTAATCTAGCAGGGCAAAATGTTCCCTAAGAGTGATTT